CCAGAATTGAAACCTCTTTATGAGCCATATTTATAAAAGTCACTTACAAAGTTTTTCTCACATTGTTATCTCACATTACTACAGCAACACAGAAATCATAAAAGCTCTACAGTTTTAGATAAATTGCAATCAGAGACTCTGACACGTGACATGATTTTACCATAAGTTGCTTGCCTTCACACATGTGTTTAACACACACAATTGTGCCAACCAAAGAGAAACTTACATTTAAAAAGTAAAGGGTCAAGAGGCAACTAAAGCAACAACTATTCACAAAAACGGTAAGTTGAAGAAGAAAAAAAACATCTAAACATTAATTCTGTTTTAGATAATAAAGTCTAACTGGTTAGTAATGTGTGAAGCTGGTGATGCTGTTTGTAGAGTTGTTCAATCATCTTCTGCTGAGATCTTGAGGGATTTAATGTCTTGTAGTTGTGTTAACAACTACAATGTGTTGTAGTTCTTGTGTTTCTCTTTTCTTCAGTGATTCTGCTTGTTAACAGCAGCTGTTCATCACTAATGCTCAATCAGCACTTAATTAATCACTTAATTATCTCATTAACTTTAACACTGCTTCAGTGTTACTTTAACACTCTTTTAGAGTGGGACCATATATGCTCCGAGCAGTGTTAATTTAACACTCGGGAATTTACTGTGTAGTTGTGGGTCTCATGACAACCAGTGCGACTGGTAAACAAGGTCTCAGTATCCTTTAAGGTCATGTATCCGGTAAGATGATCCCATTTAATTACCTGGTCTTTCACTACCATGCCAATCGATCGAATAGTGGTAGAATTTGGATAGACTTGATCTGGATGTATCAAGGGAAAGGTGACAAAAAATCCAAGGCATCCATTACATTCATTACCAGTGTACATCATAACGGTTGATAATAATTCAGAATATTTCAAATTGTTTATTTTTTCTAATGAAAGCCACCTATGTAGATCTAAGATTTCAATCAAGTCACTTAGAGCATGCCTAGGTGTTTTATGGAGACGGAGATCTAGGATCTCCTGTTTTGTAGTAGAAAATAAATCTTGAGCATATGATCTGCAGGCTAAACCACGTTCGATGGTACGTGTCTGATTGAATAATGTATGGCTGATCTCAAGAAGCGCCTGCGCTTCGGATCTAACCGCTTTTATGATGTTTTCGTTGCTATTGGTGAGATGTTGGAACCCAGTAGCTATCTAGTTTGCCAACCATGTAGAGAATTGGGATTGTTGGGTTATTTTGTAGGAGTTAGATGCTGAATTGATTGAGCCAAATAAGCCGGCTATATTGCCTAGCAGGTCTCGTTTTGACCGAGCAGGTGAAATTTGAACAGCGAGTCTGCTTTTGTAATCAGAGATTAAATCATCGAATCGTGATTGTAGCCATGCATAGGATTCATCATCATCGTTACAGTGTTCTTTGTAAGCAGAGAGAACATTTGAAATATTGTATGTTACATGTGTCATTACTAAATTTACATCATGTAATAATGTCTTATTTACATTTCCTCTAATCAGTCCACCAGGAGGAATTGGGTGCAATTCTGGGCATTGCCTGGGCCTAGTGTAACCACAGGTGGTTAAATTAAAGCAATGATGGACAGTCCATGAACAATTGTGTGGGCTGGTGAAATTGTCCATGCTAGATTCGCATTCTCCCACACAATAAGTTCCTTCCTTTCGGTTAGTCCACACAAAAGTTTTTGGTTTTTGTTCGTTTGGTGTAAGTGAGGTAAGGTTGTAAATTGATTCTGTGAACCTTAGGTGTGTGGTGTTGTGTGTTTCAGTGTGTGAGCACCTATATGTAAAAGGTTCCAAATTTTTTATAAGATAGTATAGCTTTGGATCAATACCATCGTTGTTCTTCTCATATACTGTGTTCATGATCCCTGGATCGGGTTTAAGTTGATACCAGGCAGTGATATTGTGTAAGAATTTTGGTGCATGTGAGTATCCTGAAATGTTTTCTGTCGGTGGGTGAGTGCTACCTGAGCTGCAACAAAATCTTGGGGTGCAATTTGGATCCAGTGCTAATCCGGGAGGCCATATAACTATCTCTTTTGGTACAACTGCAATTTCAGGTGTGGAAGGCCCCTTGGAATATTTCCACACACACCTTCCGCATTTCAGGTTGTGTGTGAGTGAAACCCTTTGGCCCAGTCTGATGCACGTGGACCCGGATATTTTCCTCTCGTCCGGTCTCCATGGGATTGCTGCAGTCAAACTAGAAGACAGAAAGAGGAAAAACAATAACCATTATTCATCTAGTTTACCCTTGAATAATTTACACTGTGACGTGATACCATCGCAGTTTTCCTTTAAAATCTGTGGCAATGCAGCTGTTGCAGACTGCTTTGACCTCATATGGCCTGTGCCATCGAGGTGTGAATGGGCCTTGTTTCACAAAAACTCGTATCATTATTATGTCATCCTCTGAGAATTTTATCTCAGAGTTCGGGTTGAAATGTGTATCGTTCATCAAGTCAGACTGCTGTTGTTTCAGAGTGACTTGTGTATGTAACACACTGAGTCTGTCTTGTAGTTGTTTCAACACAGTCTGTTGGGTTGCAATCATGAGAGGTCCCAGATCTGCTGAAGTGATTTCTGGGTCTATGGGTAGTTTCATGACTCTTCCAGTCATGAGCTCGAATGGGCTGATGCCCGTGGACTTTGATGGAGTTGCCCGCAGTACCGTTAGTACTGTGGGTAATGCATCAGTCCACCTGTTCTTGTGTTGTATTATTTGTTTTGAAATGCTTTCTTTGATTGTGCGATTCGAACGTTCCACCATTCCCGAGCTCTGTGGTCTGTACGAAATGTGAAATCTTTGTTTGATGTTTAGCATCTTGCAAATGGATTTCATTATCTGGCCAGTGAAGTGGGTTCCCTGGTCAGATTCAATTTGAACTGGAGCTCCCCAGAGGGGAAGAACTTGGTTTGCTAACACTCGTGCCACTGTGTTTGCACTGTTATTGCGGGTGGGGATCACTTCAACCCATTTTGAGAATTTATCAATTATTACGAGGCAATAACGATACCCCCCTCTGGCACTGCAGAGGCCCGAGGACCTTTCCGTCCTGCCCACAGAGGCATTGGTCAGGCACAGGGGTAGCGAGGAGTGCAAAGGCAGCAGGCGGTTCCATTAACAAACTGCCCGACCTCATGCATACACCTACCCCGTACAATAATGGCAAAAAAGTAATTATTGTTGTACAGTCTAAGAAAAATTACTCTAAATTGATGTGCGCATAACCAGTAGTTTTTGTTGTATCCCTGCTAGCCTTAACCAACAAACACTCTTAAGCTGTCCAGTTCCTTGCCCGCGAGTCTCTGGCCTCTTTAATCTGGTGGATTGTCTCCTTGGGCGATTTCTGACCCTGATGGTCCCTCTGCTTTTCGAGCCACACTTAAATTTTGCAGAGGCCCGAGGACCTTTCCGTCCTGCCCACAGAGGCATTGGTCAGGCACAGGGGTAGCGAGGAGTGCAAAGGCAGCAGGCGGTTCCATTAACAAACTGCCCGACCTCATGCATACACCTACCCCGTACAATAATGGCAAAAAAGTAATTATTGTTGTACAGTCTAAGAAAAATTACTCTAAATTGATGTGCGCATAACCAGTAGTTTTTGCTGTATCCCTGCTAGCCTTAACCAACAAACACTCTTAAGCTGTCCAGTTCCTTGCCCGCGAGTCTCTGGCCTCTTCTCTGGATGCTTTGATCCTCTGACTCGCCCTCCCAGTAAACACACTTGTAGCTGGCGCCGTGGCTTAGTTGGTTAAAGCGCCTGTTTAGTAAACAGGAGATCCTGGGTTCGAATCCCAGCGGTGCCTTTTGAGAGATCACGTGCACCTCCTAGGCAAAGCCAGATTTTGATCGAGCGCAAGTCCTGTAGTCCATTTCATTTGCAAACCACCCCTCAGCTTCTGCCGAAAAATGATGGCCTGGACCAGGGGTACGCAGTTCTGTCCTAGAGAGTCGTAGTAAGGCAGAGTTCAGCTCCAACCCTGGAAAAAAACTCACCTGCCAATAGCCTTAGTAATCCTGTAGACATTGATTAGCTTGTTCAGGTGTGTTTGATTACGGTTGGAGCTGAACTCTGCAGGACTGCGGCTCTCTAGGACCGAACTTGCCTACCCCTGGCATGGGCTAGTTCACATGGGCGCTGTGGCTTAGCTGGTCAAAGCACCTGTCTTGTAAACAGGAGGTCCTGGGTTCGAATCCCAGCTGTGCATTTGTCAGCGCTCGCACGCGTCAAAAGCATGATTTTCTGAGATCGGACTCTGAACAGGGGTAGCAAGGAGTGCAAAGGCAGCAGGCGGTTCCATTAACAAACTGCCCGACCTCATGTGTAAGGTCCGCCCACTGGTCCAACGACGGTAGCCGGTGATCCGGAAGAAGGGTTCTCGCGTGTTGCTGTCTTTCCTTTTATACAGCACAACAATATTAAATTAAATACATTTTCTTGTGTTTTACCTCTTTTATTCATCTGACTCCAAAAATGAAAAGGGTTAAGAGAGTTGTTTGTTACTCATTAAATTTAGGTGAGTGTTTGATCATTCCGTTTTACCCGTGATTTTATTCATTCGTTCATTAGGAATCTGTGTCGCTTAGGATGCCTCACGGCGGCCGCCATGCGTGGGATCCACGATCACAAACTCGCCAGTTTGATACTTATTCAGAGGTTTTTTGGCTAATACTATTTCCTTTAAATAGTAGGTTTGTTTAGCCCCCTACAATTACCCATGCAATGCTCAAACAATAATCAGCGGTTCTTCTAGACCCTTAGTCTAGACCCCAATAGTTATTATAACTACGTACAACTTAATTAAAGCTGAAATCATACACATGGTTAACGTAACTGAGTACAACTTAAATTAAGCTCAAGCGGTTAGTCAGAAATCTATAATCTCACTTGATGTGCCCGTGCTCCATCTAACCTGAGATTTAGAATGCACTTTACTCTGGTCGCAGATTTGCGGAAACACAAGCCTTCACTTAATCTACTTGAGAAAATAACTTCAGAGTAATCAGAATGAATTCAAACATAACAATTTATTAATCAGGTAATCAACGTAATAATTCAAAGTCCAATCAAACAATAGCAAATAATTAATCAATCATACAAACAGTCAATAATACCGAAATAAGAGAATATATAAATGTTACCTGATAATGAGGACTACGCACAACAGATGTGCGGGAGATCTGCCTACAGATTCCCCGAGCTTTTTGTCACTCTCCCTTAAATATCCACAAGAACCCCATAGATACCAAATGGTATTGTCTGTTTCTCTTTAGGGGGTTTCAAGTGAATTATCTTGATTTCTGTGGGAGTCTGTACCTCATTTACATACAGAAGGTAATTTGTGTGAAAGACCTGGGAGTAGTCTATTTTCAATATTTATGGCTACCTGTTCTATTGTTAAGAGAATGAGACCCTTTTACCAGACACACAGAGACCTTTCAAACGGCATCAAACATGAATTGTTGCCTTGTTATAAACTCTGATTTAAGAAAGGTGGTTTTGGTGATCTCTGCAGTGTCCTGTGTTCAGATGGAAATGAGGGGAGAGAGGGGAAGAGTGAAGGTGTGGAGCTTTTGTTTCTCTCAGTTGGGTGTCTTGCTTTAGGCTTGCGAGACAGAGTTCAAATGTTGATTCTCGTGAGAGTTCTTTGTTTTTTCAGACGGTGACCTTCTTCTGATCTAGCCAAATGGCATCAATAATCTTACAGTTAAATCTCCCTTTGGCCCTGTGGGGTATTCATAGGGGTTCCTGCGGGGACATAACTGTTTGCTCTTTGGCTGGATTCTTTCTGTCGTCAGACTTTCTGTAGTGCTGGCACCTGTAACTGGCTGAGGACCAGAGCCATGTTGGTAGATGTCTTTAGAGATCTGATGAGGTATCTGAAATAACAGCACTGGAACAACGTGAAGGTGAAGATGAGGGCACTGCCGACGGCGCACCCCCGGAGTATCCAGTCCCACCATGTGTAGGCACTCAGGGCTGAACGGGTAGATGAGCTGGACAGAATTTTTGCAGTTTTTTGAGCCAGGTTCGTCTCTACCTGTGCTTGTGAAAGGTGGTATTCAGTCTGTGAGATGATTCTCTGCACCAAATCCATCGTGTCAACCAGGGCCTGTGTTCCTTGTTCATAGAAGGTGTCATCCCACCATGGGGAAATTTCTGCATCCAGTGGCATCCTTCCAAGGATGTTAATCTGGCCCATTGAGAAATCCTCAGTTGCCTCTAAACAAAACGAGTGGTTAGCAGGACAGGTCAGTCCTCCATACGTGAAGGAATTCATCTCACTGACGACACACCACTGCGTGTGAGACACCTGAATAGCATCAGAGTGACCGTGCAACGATTGAACATTTATAAGCTTGCTGTCATTGGAGGAAAAAGGTTGTAATGTGTTACATGTACATACAACATAGTTGTGGGTCTCATGACAACAAGTGCGACTGGTAAACAAGGTCTCAGTACCCTTTAAGGTCATGTATCCGGTAAGATGATCCCATTTAATTACCTGGTCTTTCACTACCATGCCAATCGATCGAATAGTGGTAGAATTTGGGTAGACTTGATCTGGATGTATCAAGGGAAATGTGACAAAAAATCCAATGCATCCATTACATTCATTACCAGTGTGCATCATAACGGTTGATAATAATTCAGAATATTTCACATTTTTCATTTTTTCTGATGAAAGCCACCTATGTAGATCTAAGATTTCAATCAGGTCACTTAGAGCATGCCTAGGTGTTTTATGGAGGCGGAGATCTAGGATCTCCTGTCTTGTAGTAGAAAATAAATCTTGAGCATATGATCTGCAGGCTAAACCACGTTCGATGGTACGTGTCTGATTGAATAATGTATGGCTGATCTCAAGAAGCGCCTGCGCTTCGGATCTAACCGCTTTTATGATGTTTTCGTTGCTATTGGTGAGATGTTGGAATCCAGTAGCTATCTGGTCTGCCAACCATGTAGAGAATTGAGATTGTTGGGTTATTTTGTAGGAGTTAGATGCTGAATTGATTGAGCCAAATAAGCCGGCTATATTGCCTAACAGGTCTCGTTTTGACCGAGCAGGTGAAATTTGAACAGCGAGTCTGCTTTTGTAATCAGAGATTAAATCATCGAATCGTGATTGTAGCCATGCATAGGATTCATCATCATCGTTACAGTGTTCTTTGTAAGCAGAGAGAACATTTGAAATATTGTATGTTACATGTGTCATTACTAAATTTACATCATGTAATAATGTCTTATTTACATTTCCTCTAATCAGTCCACCAGGAGGAATTGGGTGCAATTCTGGGCATTGCCTGGGCCTAGTGTAACCACAGGTGGTTAAATTAAAGCAATGATGGACAGTCCATGAACAATTGTGTGGGCTGGTGAAATTGTCCATGCTAGATTCGCATTCTCCCACACAATAAGTTCCTTCCTTTCGGTTAGTCCACACAAAAGTTTTTGGTTTTTGTTCGTTTGGTGTAAGTGAGGTAAGGTTGTAAATTGATTCTGTGAACCTTAGGTGTGTGGTGTTGTGTGTTTCAGTGTGTGAGCACCTATATGTAAAAGGTTCCAAATTTTTTATAAGATAGCATAGCTTTGGATCAATACCATCGTTGTTCTTCTCATATAATGTGTTCATGATCTCTGGATCGGTTTTAAGTTGATACCAGGCAGTGATGTTGTGTACGAATTTTGGTGCATGTGTGTATCCTGAAATGTTTTCTGTCGGTGGGTGTGTGCTACCTGAGCTGCAACAAATTCTTGAGGTGCAATTTGGATCCGGTGCTAATCCGGGAGGCTATCTCTTTATCTCTTTTGGTACAACTGCAATTTCAGGTGTGGAAGGCCCCTTGGAATATTTCCACACACACCTTCCGCTTGTGTGTGAGTGTGTGAGTGAAACCCTTTGGCCCAGTCTGATGCACGTGGGCCCGGATATTTTTCTCTCGTCCGGTCTCCATGGGATTGCTGCAGTCAACCTAGGAGACAGAAAGAGGAAAAACAACAACCATTATTCATCTAGTTTACCCTTGAATAATTTACACTGTGACGTGATACCATCGCAGTTTTCCTTTAAAATCTGTGGCAATGCAGCTGTTGCAGACTGCTTTGACCTCATATGGCCTGTGCCATCGAGGTGTGAATGGGCCTTGTTTCACAAAAACTCGTATCATTATTATGTCATCCTCTGAGAATTTTATCTCAGAGTTCGGGTTGAAATGTGTATCGTTCATCAAGTCAGACTGCTGTTGTTTCAGAGTGGCTTGTGTGTGTAACACACTGAGTCTGTCTTGTAGTTGTTTCAACACAGTCTGTTGGGTTGCAATCATGAGAGGTCCCAGATCTGCTGAAGTGATTTCTGGGTCTATGGGTAGTTTCATGACTCTTCCAGTCATGAGCTCGAATGGGCTGATGCCCGTGGACTTTGATGGAGTTGCCCGCAGTACTGTTAGTACTGTGGGTAATGCATCAGTCCACCTGTTCTTGTGTTGTATTATTTGTTTTGAGATGCTTTATTTGATTGTGCGATTCGAACGTTCCACAATTACTGAGCTCTGTGGTCTGTATGAAACGTGAAATCTTTGTTTGATGTTTAGCATCTTGCAAATGGATTTCATTATCTGGCCAGTGAAGTGGGTTCCCTGGTCAGATTCAATTTGAACTGGAGCTCCGGAGAGGGGAAGAACTTGGTTTGCTAACACTCGTGCCACTGTGTTTGCACTGTTATTGCGGGTGGGGATCACTTCAACCCATTTTGAGAATTTATCAATTATTATGAGGCAATAACGATACCCCCCTCTGGCACTGGGCAGCGGACCAATAAAATCTAACTGCAAAAATTCCCAAGGTCCTTTGGGTGGTTCTGGTCTGCACAGCTTTGTGCGTCCTGGTCTACCTTGGTTAATGGTAGCACATACAATACATGTGTCACACCATCTTTGATTGTCTGATGTCATTTCTGGCCACCAGAAGTAATTTTGTATCAGCTGTTGTGTTTTGGGAGCTGAGACATGTGCATAATCATGGTATAACTTTATCACTGGTTTTTGGAGGGCATCGAGGACAACGTATTTTCCATCTCTCAGAATTATGCCCTCAGTGACCTTGACTAATTGATCCTGCTGTAAATGCGTTACAAGCTCTCCATCTATGTTCCACAGTTCTTGTTGATATTGTTTTAAATCAATGGGAGTGGTGTGTACTGCACTTATTGCAGGAGTGCTCAGTTTGTCGAGCTGCCAGTCGTCTCCTTTTACAGCTGCTAGTTTAGCTAGTTGATCTGCGATGTTGTTGTTTTCTCATGTTCGTCTGGGCTTCGGCTGATGTGTGCGCACTTTAATAACTGATAGTGGTGAATAACGCATTTTGATTGAATGCCAGATTGAGGTTATGATGTTAAAATGTTTTATTTGCATCCCGGCAGAGGTGAGAAATTTGCGCAATTGCCATTGTGCCATAAAATCATGAACTACACCAAATGAATAACGGCTCTCAGTGTACACACACAACGGCTCATGGTGTGACTTGATTGCTTCTAGCAATGCAATGAGTTCAGCTTCTTGTGCTGATGTGTTTCCGGGTAATTTGATTAGCAATTGTTTAGCATTTGAATTGGGAGAGTGGGGGGGTCCACACTGCACATCCTGTGTGAAATTGACCATCATGCCAATATCTGGAGCCATCAATGTACACCGGAGTCTGATCCGGGAGTTTTTGGTCATGGACAAGGCTCTGTGTTTCTTGTTTGGTTTGGCATGTGTGTGGGTGGCCCTCCACATCTCCCAATAAATGTGGTAGAATTCGGCTGTTAACTGTTGTGATGTCACGGGCCTGTATATCTGCTAGCCATCTTGCTAATCTCTGTGCTGATACACCTTTTATTCGGCCCTGTAACAACATTTGTACTGGCATGTGCATTGTATGTACAACAACAGGTTGAAAACCTTCGATAGGTTCTGTTGCTGTCAACATCCAATGAACCGCCAACACGTGCTGTGTACATTGGTCAAATCCCTGTTCTACTGGAGACTTTTTCCTACTGTAATATGCAATTGGTCGCAGTTTTCCCCCATGATCTTGAGCTAGAATGCCGCTTAACGTATTCTCAGTAGCATCAGCTTGTAAGTGGAAAGACTTTGAAGGGTTGGGCAGACCCAGGGCTGGTGCGCAGCATAATTGTTCTTTTAAGTCTGTAAAGGCTTTTCCGTGCCCCTCTGTCCATTCAAGAACGTCCGAGGGCTTTGATTTTCCCTTTAAAAGAGAGTACAGTGGCGCAGCGATGTTAGCGAAATCTGGAATGAAATCTCTTATATAGTTTGCTGTTCCCAAATCCTTCTGTAAAGCATTTAATGTGTGTGGTCGGGGCAGTTCGGCAATGCATTTTCGTCTATCATCTGTTAACGATCGGTGGCTTGGTGTGATTCTATAGCCCAGGTATTGGACTTCTTTTTGTGCAATTTGAGCCTTTTCTTTGTTCAATTTGAAGCCAGCTTTACCGAGTGTCAACAGTACTTCATCAACCAGTTACAAATGATCATCAAATGATCCATCAGTTGCAATGAGTATGTCATCAACATAATGAATCACGATTCCTGTCCCTGTTAGCGGATTTAGCGCATCTTCTAATGCTCTGTGGAAAATGTAGGCCTTGTGGCATTCATTCCCATGTATACTGTATTTGGTTCACAGTGAAGGCCAATTTCCACTGATCATTGCGCCTGACTTTCATGGACCAGAAACCGTTTTTTATGTCTAGCACAGTAAACTAAAGGCATTAGTGGATATCTGCGACAGTAATATTGATGGATTTGCCATGATAGGTGTAGCCTTGGGCAAAACTTTGTTGAGATGTTGATAGTCGATGCAAAGACGCCATTTACCATTCGATTTTGGTACTGGTAAACACGGGGAGTTTGTGTGTTCGAGCTACATCGCCGAACTATTCCCCTGATTTCAAGTTGTTTTACAATTTCATGAACTGCTGACTCTGCCTCTGGTTTGATTAGGTATTGTTTTTGTGGGGGAGGGGGCTCCCCCTCAAGACACACAACATAGTCAATGAGGCCGCAGTCGTGTTCATGTGTAGCCCAAATGCTGTTGTGTTTGTTTACCATTTGCTGAATGGGGTCTGTAGTGGATATGGACATGATGTTGGCTCTGTTTTTTGGTAGACTTTTCTTAACAGTTTTGTTTGTTTTCAATTCAATCTGTTTTTCAAAACAATGAATCACAAAACCATGTTTCTGCATGATGTCCATTCCCAACACAGTCCCTTTACTATTATCAGGTAGATACCACAGTGGTTCTTCAAGTACTACGACGCCTAAATCAAGCCGAATTGGTTGAGTTTGTGTTGCAATCATTACTGTATCGCCAATGCCTTTGATCTGAATCGTTTTGTTTGTTAAGGGTAGTGGGATATCTGTACAGGAGCAAGATGCACCAGAATCAATAAGTATATCAGCTAACTGGCCTCCTAAATTAGCTCTTATTTTGATTCGGTTTTTGGTTTTGACTATACTCCCTACTGCAATGGAGGCCACGCATCCCTATTGTGAATTATGGTTTTCTGTAATTATGATCATCTCCCCTGTGCGCCTCAGCACGCTAAAAGAGCTTTTTCCCCTAAAAGAGCAAATTCGGGTGTGTCTTTTTAAAGACGACGTGGCGTGGCAAACTTGACGTTACGTCTTTGTAAAAACGATGTGGGTCTTGCTATAGACAACGTATCACTCGGGCGTTTTGGATGCGGTCGTTACCTGGTGATGGTCACGATCGCTGCCTCTCGTGCCTGGGCATGAAGCACGCTGAGGTGGCTTTCGTGGATGACTCATGCTCCCATTGCGGGGGTATGACCATCTCGGACTTGCGACCCGGACTCCGTTTCCTGCAAAGGGGCGGAGTGCCCGTGCCACTGCCTAGATCTGGGGTTCCCTCTGGTGGCAGCCGGGGGTGTCCTTTTTCTGGCGGTGGGCGGACGGTCTTACGGTCACGGTGAGGAATTCCCCTCCGGGGATGCCCAAGCCCGCCGGCACTTCGAAACCAGTTGAGCTCTCAAAAAGAGCAGACTGGACCCTCCCAGGGGGTACCACCTGTTTCTTCGAGGCTCCCCCCGACGATCAGATGTCGGTTGCAGCATCGGAGGGTGAGCCAGAGCTTTCTGGAGAAGAAGATTCGGCCCCGCCTTGGTGCCTTTCTTCCCAGAGGAGCATGAGTAGCACAACAGGTTGTGGACGGCACCTCAACAGGTTGTTTCCCGCCACCTCCTCCTCTGGAGTCAGAAGCATCTGAGGTCGCTTCGTGCTGTTCACATTCCTGGGCTGCTCAACCGGGCAGCCGACGAGCTGTCCCGAGCTGCGCTCCCGGGAGAATGGCGACTCCATCCCCAGACGGTCCAGCTGGTTTGGGGACGTTTCGGAGCCACTTAGGTAGACATGTTTGCCTCTCCAGAAATCTCTCACTGCCAGTTGTTCTTTGCCCTGACCGAGGAAACACTCGGCACGGATGCACGGACGCACTGACACACAGCTGGCCGCAGGGCCTTCGCAAGTATGCATTTCCCCCAGTGAGCCTTCTGGCACAGTTGCTGTGCAAGGTTAGGGAGGACGAGGAGCAGG